CACTGGACAGATTCATCTTCATCTAGCCCACATTTGCAACAAATAATACATATGTATATTTTTTTTCTGCATTTACCTTGCTATTATAATTATTATGTTATATTGCGTAAGGTTTCATTTTTTCAAATAGTGTTAATAAATGTATTGGTAAAGCTTATAATGCTAAGCCTATAATTAAAATGCAACATATAGAATATTTATGAATATATATATATATAATATAATTATTATGTATAATATAAAATTATAAAACAGGCATTTGAATTTATTGATTTTCAACAACAGTGGCATGTGCTTTGTGATTAGGATTCTTTAAATTAGATCACATTGATAAGGAAACAATAATCCAAAGAGAAAGAAAAAAATAAAAAAAGATTCTAGGCATAATTACCTATATTTAACAGGAAACTAGGGGTCAGAATCAGTTTAGGTAGGTCTTAGGCACTAATAAGGTATTGATGATAACATAACACGGGACTGAAAATAATTAGACATGTAGTGGTCAGCATAATGCCAAATAAAACATAAAAAAGACAGACGAGAAATACGGAATCTGAGCTAGGTAATTACGCAAAGTGTGTGTCGAAAACATGATGTTAATATTTACTAATTTTTATTTACTAATTTTTAATAAGTTTAAATTACTTAATGTTTTAATGCCTCTTAGAGAAAAATTGTGAAAGCTGTATTTCTCTATTGGCTACAAACAGACTACTGAAAAAGATGTTCAAAGTAAGAGTCATCCAATGGTTGAGAGACTTGTAGGGAAAGGACAAATCCTTTCCCAGTAAAGTACATAAGCTAAGTCTGTGATCCCCAGCAGAAGAAGCAAATTTTCTACTGTTCTTGATTCCATATATGTTTTGTATTGTTCTCCATAGGAAGAAGTGAGAAATGATTAAGAAACTTAATTTTTTATAATTTCAGGGAAACTGAGCTTAGTTAGAATAGATGGATATTGGGCACCAATTATGGACAAGGACATATGGGACCTAAAAAGAAGTACAGGAATACAGCACTTGTCTATTACAGAGTTTAAAAAATAGTTAACAAGGGAAGGAAGAAAAGAAGTTATGAAATAATAAATGAACAATTTACATTAGTGTAAAACTAAAGAAAGTCACAAGTCACGATTAAGAAATTATGCAATATAATAATAAAATCATAATAAATTGTAAATTTATTATAAATGATAAATATATTTTGTTTTAATAAAATATAAATTATATGTAATCTATAAATATAATGATATAATGATAAATTGACAAAATTATACAATATAATAGCACAATATAGTAATAATAGTAATGACAATAATACATAGAATTATAATAATAACAATAGTATTTTGTATAATACTAAGTACAAGGCACTGAACTAAGTTCTTTTCAAGTATTGTATCAACTGTGGAAAACAGCCATTATGTGACTTTTCCAGTGTCAGACAGTTAGTGAATGTCTGAGGGTAGATCTTAACTCTGGTCTTCCTGACATCAGGCATGATACTCTTTGCACTGTGCTACCTAGCTGCCTACTTTAGGCTAAAATTACAAATAGAAATAACAAAACATTTTAAGAAAATATTTTCAGAAAAAAACCACAAAGAATAAAACAAAAAACATATAACATGTAAAAATTATTGATACAAACAGAAAAAAAATATTTAACAAAATAAGAATACTGAAAGAAAATTGAAACTGATGATTTTGTGGGTTTTTAATGGAGTGGATAGAGCTCTGTGTCTGAAGTTAGAAGGATATGAGTTCAAACATGGCCTAAGATATTTATTATCTGTATCACCATGGTGCAATCACTTAGCATGTGTCTACCTTACTTTCCTCATCTATCAAATATGGATAATAATAGCCCCCCACTTACTAGGGTTGCTATTAGGATCAAAATTATTTAATATTTATAAAGTGATTGTCATTTTTAGTGACATACAACAGGTGCTTAAAAATTCTTGTTCTCTTGCCTTTTTCAATAAAGATTGCTTATTCCAAATCAATTTTAAGCATTTGTGATTTTGTTTAAGCCCTGAAGACAAAAATCCCTAATGATTATTTTTTTAAATGTCTTAGAGTGTCTGATCAAATACTTAAAGTTAAGTAACTTGCCCATGATCAGAGAAATAGTGATATTTTAATTTTTAAAAAATTCCTAAGATTTTCTGGGAATAACTACTATAATACTCTTTAAAATTTATTTTTTTCCTAGTTTCTTTTCTTCTCTTCTCAATGTCCAGAGTAAAGAGATTGATGAGTGTCCAGGACAGTCAGAATTTCTAGTTCAAAATAAACACATATATACCAAAACAATATCTAACAGGATTCTCAGTCCCTCTCCAAAATTAGTTCAATCTCTTCTTTGTAACCAAGCCATAACCTCCAGTTTTGGTATGAGTTTTATGACTGATACATACATAAACCCTTGTTTTTAGTTTCTTGGGTGAAGAAAGCGGTTCCCTAAGAAGCACTAAAGGGTCTTACCTGCCATATATTTTACAATCTCACACAATTTCTTTGTTTCAGTGACTAAGAAGGTCAATTACATTTTTCTGAGTCACTTTATGAAACTTTTGTTCTCCATAAATTTTATTTTCTAATTTTAGTCAAGGTATGCCTGTTTAATTTATTTTTATTTTTATTTTTTTGCAGGGTTGGGGTGAGGGTGGGTGAAACAGAAATTCTTCAACCATGTTGCTAAGGTTGTATCTAGACCAAATATAATTTTTGACCATATGGCTTAAAGGGAAGGAAGCATTATGCTTAGGAGTCATGTGCATCTGGGTAAGAGCTTCTATAGGTGAGTCATAGATTCTGTATCTCTTCAAATTTCATTCTATTCTTAGCAAAATTTTAATTGTGTCTTTGAGAAAAAGCCTATACCTTTCAGCCTATTTTCAGACAAAATGCCTATTACTTCTGAGACCAAGAAAAGTTTATGAATTTCTGAACTTATTATGTTATAATTTCATTTACCATTATGCTACTTTGTGTTAAATATTTTGATTTCAGAAATTCATTGCACTAATATGAACATTTGTTATGAAGTTCATAGTAGGTACGTTCAAGAATTGATAATGGGACCTTAAAATAATATCAAATTTGTCCATGTTGCCAACGTAACAGGGTATGTCAGAAAATGTTGTATCCATTAGTCTAATTATTAATCTCTCTGAACCAAGTACTGAAGCCCTGGTTAGGGAAAGAACCAAGGGATGGGGTGTTTTGGTTAAAATGAGGAGTCCATGAGAGTTATAAACCAAACCACAGAAGCCTAATGGGCCATATTAGAAATCTTTTAAAGTTAAGAAGAACAACTGTGAGTAACCAGGGACTGATACCAAGAGGCAACGGTCAAAGCCCAAGCATTTGGTGAGAGTCAGGAGGATCTGGTGCATCAAGAGTTGTTGATAATTGAAAAGAGAGTTGGGAATGCTGACTGCAAAGGAATTGTTGATTTTTTTTATTGACCAACTTTCTTTATTTCACATGTGTCTCTACAGAAATGAATGAAGTATGGGCAATATCAGAATTATACTCCTTTTGGAATACCCAAAGTCTTCTACTGCAATGTTTCTGAATGACAGCTCAGTGTCAGTAACAGCTGCATTTGTAACAAATAATTTCCTTACTCACTGTTTATTCATGGTCATGGATGTGCCCATATTGGAGGCATCAGAATCCTTGAAGAGAAAGGACATACGAGAGTCACAACGGCCTATACCTGAAACTAGTAGTCTTTTTCTCTCATCTCAAGTATTGGAAGGAAATGCCATAAATACTTAATTTAGCAACTACAACAACTACAAACAGTGGCTGCTCACCTTTGATACTTAGCCCAAAGCAAGTGCAGGTCAACCAACATCTCTGGGCACAATGGCCTTGATATTTCCTGATCCTTCCATCATAGCTACATCAATAATCAAGGGTAGAATGAGAGGGAACAGGTTGCCTTAAACCACTTTCAGATGGTCTTTAAGTTACATAAAGTGCTTGACTTAATTAATTGATCTGGTAATAATTTTAAAAGCAGATTTCATAAGGAATAGGAAGGAAACCCAAGTGTTAATGAAAATTTTCCAAAAATATAAAGGAGCTTTATTCCAACCCATACTTGTAAAACAAACAAACAAACAAAAACATCTTGGCTACATCTTCCCCATATGTAGTCATTCAACCTTTAAATGCATGTCTCTGGTAAAAGGTAATTCGCCACCTCTCAGGACAACCTAGTTCATTCTTTGAAAATTCTTAGGAGTTTTATTAATTCATACAGCTCAAATATGCTTTTCTTCTGTTTCAAGTAGTGCTGCAGTTCTGACTTTGGGGACAAAACAGAAAAAAAATGAACCTATGAGGCATTCACATTTGATTCTTTTCCAAGATTCTCTAAAATACTTGCTCATCTATTACCTGATTTAACATTGTAATTTGATTTTCTCATTGAAGTGTTAACTTTTAAAATGAAATGCAAAAGGCCTGAAGGGTAGAAATTTTTTCTTATGTTTCCTATATAACTTCCCTGAATCCAGGAAATCTTCCTAAGACTAAACATTTCAATTTCCTTGAAACGTACATCTTACCACATTTTTTTTCTCTAAGCCCTTTATAATCTTGGTCTTCAGTATCTAGATAATCTCTAAAACATCAATGACTTCTTAAAAGGTGGGATATAGAGAGATTTGAATAAACAAATACATAGACATAGAAGAAAATTTTAATAAACTAATGGTTTTTACTTAGAGGTGCAGCCATTTTATAATGCCCAAGGATAAGAATACTGATATCATTAATCTCAAATAAGTTGGAATGAGTAAAATACTTTAAAAAAAAACTACACATCTCCATAACTAACAAGGTTTACTGAAGCTCATCTTCTTGGTAAGGAGTGTGTGGAATCCCATTTGGAGCAGCTGATTCAATCACAGAAACCTTGCTCTTCCTTCCCAGGTCTCCTTAGATCTGACTACCATTTTTCTCTCCAAGAAGATAAGGAATGCATTCTTATGATGATGCTCTCTGCAATAGCTACATTCTTCAAAGTATAATTGGAATTTTGGGGAATGGTTTACTCTTTTACCTTTATGGCTTTAATTTAATTACTAATCAAAAGACAAGACCCATTGACTTGATTTTCATTAATTTGGCCTTTTCCAACATTTTGTTGATTTTCTTCAGGGGAATGCCATTTACAATCCAGGTTTGTATCCAGAAAGTTTTCCTAGATGACATTGATTGTAAAATCATAGCGTATCTGCAAAGAGTTCTCCGGAGTCTTTCCCTTTGTACTAGCTGCCTCATGAGTTTCTTGCAAGCCATTATCCTCACTTCCTGTAGTTCCAAATGGGCAGAACTCAAAACAAAGCTCCACAATGTATTGTTCCATCCTGTGTTTTCATATGGGTACTCAATCTATCAATAGATGTGATTGTGCTCCTGTATGTGACTGGTCCTAGGAACAGCACAAAAAGTATGCTGAACAGGAACCTAGGCTTTTGTTCTGTGAATAGGTATGCTTTAGCTACCTCAAAACCTGTGATTTGGAAATCAGTCTATGATGCAGTGTTTGTGGGATTCATGGCCATTACCAGTGGTTACATGGTGCTTGTTTTGTGCAGATATCACTGGAAAGTCCAACATATTCATGACAGCAGCCTCACCCCTAGTACCTCCCCAGAGATCAGAGCCACTAAAATCATCCTGTTTCTTGTGATCATCTTTGTATTTTTTTATTCAATCAGTTCCATCTTTATTATTGTGATGGATAATTCAAAAGACACAAACCAGTGGGTGATATATATTTCTGTTTTTTTGACCTTGTGTTACCCAACTGTCAGTCCTTTTGTCTTAATTACTAGTGACAACCAGATACTCATTTGCTGTAATGCTCTCAAAAGGATGAAAAAGGTTTATTCACACCAATTAAGATCTCAGAGCAAATATTTAAAACCAGAGAGTCATGGAAGTATCATGCAAAAAAACAAAAACAAAAAATGTCTTAAATCTTACTGTGTTGAAAATTCTTATTCTGAAAATGGGAATGTTTGAGCAAAGAATCAAGTTTCTGTGCATTAGAAAATTATTGCTTTCCTTTCTCAAAGGTAAGCTCCTTTATGTATGGGCCATTTTGTCTAGAACAAGAACAAATATGGAAGACAACAGAAAAGAGGGGAATGTTCATTGAAGTTTGGTGGTAGTCACAAGCTGTGGTCCTTTCTTTCATAGAAGGAAGACACATTAATGGCCAACACATTCAAAACACTTATGTTACAGTTGAAAGTATCAATGAACCATACAGTGAGTATCTGAGGGAAATTTTGAATGTTGGTTTTCCTTATGAGAAAGACCACACACCTATCCACTATGGTTTGCTGCCATCTCTTCTTTAGATCTAACTAATAGTCATTAATTTTCCTTACATTTTTAATCTCTAAAAATATTTTAAATGTGGTACCTGCATCATCAAATATATCTGAATTCTAACCATATTTATTAGAAAAATAATAGGAGATGGAAGTTGCTATAAGAGGAAAAGGAGAGAGAGAGAGAGAGAGAGAGAGAGAGAGAGAGAGAGAGAGAGAG